CTAAGAGACCAGAGAGTAGCTTTGTTGGATTCAGAAACTTCATTCTGAATATGGATATGCATGAAATTGATCAGAGGGGTCCTTTTTTAACCTAGGGGAACAATAGGCAACAAGAAGGCTATGTGAAGGAGAGATTAGACAAGATATTTGTGTCTCTGAGTTGAGCTTGAGATTTCCCAAGATGGAAGCCTCAAATTTCTTCAGAAGTGCTTCTGACCATAATGTGGTCCTATTTGATATTGAGGTGGAGTGCCAGAGAAAGAAGAAGAGGTTCACCTTTGACTCTAGATGGCTGAAAATAGAAGGGGTGGGGGAAGCTGTGGCTTTGGGATGGGATATCTCTGTGCAGGGATCTCAGATGTTATGGTGCATGAGAAAGTAAAGAATACCAGGATGGCCCTCCTGGCTTGGGCAAAACCTCTTAAAAGAGACAACGAAAAAGTTATACAAGTGCTTATAGAGAAATTGTAAGTGTTGAGGATGGAAGGTGAAGCTGTAGACTGGGGAGTATGGGGGCAAACGAAAGCAGAGCTTGACAATGCTCATAAGGAGGAAGAATTGTATTGGAGGCTGAAATCTAGAATATTATGACTGAAGGATGGGGATAGAAATACCCGGTTTTTCCATGCTCACACCTCCGAAAGGAGGAAGAGAAACTCTATCCACAAAATCACTTCCTCCACTGGTAGAGTGTATGAAGACCAGGGGGATAGTAAGGAGTTAAGTTCTTTTACAACTCAAAAACTGGAATTACCTACCTTGTTCACTATTTGCCCTTCCTCCTAGAATTGCTGACAGACCTCCCCGAATGGAATTTCTTTATTCTTCTTTTGGATTGGGCGGGGATCCCTGCCTTGGCAGGTAATAAGGAAAGCAGCCTTGTATACATTTTTTTATTTACAATTCTAAATGAGTATATGAGCGGAGCGAGAGCGACTAGAGTTCACGTCAGGTTCTGAAAGAGAAGAAGATGAAATTAAACTTGCCCTTTTCAATATGCATCCAGACAAGTCTTCTAGGGAGGATGGAATGTCTGTTGCTTTATTTCAACACTTTTGGCATCGTATAAAAGGTAATGTGTGTTGTTCCATCAAGAGTTTTTTCTCTACAGGTATTATGCTGAAGAACTGGAACCATACAATAATTACTTTGATCCCTAAATGTCTCTACCCTAAATTTTTAAGCAACTACAGACCTATTAGCTTGTGTGGTGTTCTTTATAAGGTTGTTGCTAAAATATTGGCTGAAGGACTTAAAGTTTGCTTGCATCTACGTGTGAGTCAATCTCAGACTGCTTTTGTCCCAGGAAGGCAGTTACTAGATAATGTTGTGCTTGCTCATGAAGTGTTCCACTTCCTTCATAGACACAGATCATGCCCTAATTCTTTTATGGCAGTGAAACTTGATATGGAAAGGCCTATGACCGGGTGGATTGGGAGTGTGTTAAGCTTACTATGGCAAAAATGGGGTTCCATCCCCTGTTCATCAAGTGGATCTACAGTTGCATATCCTCCTCTACTTTTTCCTTTAACTTGAATGGTGCAGTTGGTGGTTTTGTGAATCCTTCCCGTGGCTTAAGGCAGGGTGGTCCTCTATTACCCTACCTGTTTATATTGGTGTCAGAAGTTTTCTCTTCTTATCTGAAATTCAAGGTTGATTCTAGGATGTTTCAAGGGGTCAAAGTGGCTAGAGAGGGGACTATGTTGTCCCACCTTTTGTTTGCAGACGATGCTTTAATATTCTGCAAAGCTGACTCTGAGCATGTTGTGATGCTGTTAGATATTCTGCATAAGTATCAGAGATTTTCTGGTCAAAGGGTAAACCTCAATAAATCTTCCCTGTTTATGAGTAGAAACTGCAGTGAGGCCCGAAAGCAACTCATCTGTTCTGTGCTCAGTGGGATAGTGGTCAAGTGATCCTCCAGATATTTGGGCCTACCATTGGGCATTGGGGCTTCCAAATCTGATGCTTTCAAATTTGTAGTGGATGATGTCAAAGTGAGGATTGAGAGCTGGAGGAATAATTTGCTTTCTACTGCTGGGAGGGAGGTGCTTGTAAAGTCTGTACTAAATGCCCTCCCCATTTTTGTTATGTCTTGCTTTGTCTTACCTAAAGGCATCTGTTTGGAGGTGTGTAAAACTGTTGCTAGGTTTTGGTGGAGCAAAGGTGAAGGGCTTGCTAAGGGTATGCACTGGATGGCATGGGAGAAGATGGCTTGTCCTAAGCTAGATGGTGGCCTAGGATTTCAGGACATTAGGCTTTTCAATAAAGCCCTTATTTTGAAGAAGCTATGGAGAATTATTAAGCATCCTGATCTCCTGATGAGCAGAGTGTTAAAAGGCAAGTACATCCCCTGCAATTCTTTGTTTGAATATCAGAAGTCAAATGGAGCTTCATGGCTCCGGAACTCTTGGGCTTCTTTTGTTCCTGTTTTGCTAAATCATGTGAATGTGGTTGTGAAGAATGGGTTGAGTGTGAAATTAAATGATTTTAACTGGATTCCTGGGTAAAAGGGGAGCAGACCTCTTCTTAGAGTCCACATTGAAGGAAATCAGTTTGCTGTTAAAGATCTGCTTATGGCTGGGGGTTGTGCCTGGGATGAAGGCCTGGTTAGAGCTTTGTTTGAGGAGTCCACAGCCACTAACATCCTTAAAATCAGCTCTTTGAATCCTAGGGCTGCAGATAAGTGGACTTGCTCTTTTATGTGGAATTTCTCTGTCAAAACTGCCTATGCTAATTTGGTTAGGGAAAAGGTTAGCTTAAGAGGAGGATCTGAGTGCAGTGCAATGGCTGCAGGGAATACCAGAGCTAGAGAGAGATGCTGGAATCTGAAAGTTGTTGGTAAGATAAAACATTTTATTTGGAGATGTTTCTCTAACATCTTGCCAACGAATGATAATTTGAGCAGGAGGGGATTGGAGATTGATTTGAAGTGCAGAGTTTGTGGTGAGAGTGATGAGTCCCTTGAGCATGTTTTGTTTTATTGTAACAGGGCTAAGATTACTTGGAAACTATCCCTGGTGAAGTGGAACAGAGTGTATCAGGAAAAGATCTCTTTCAAGGAGTGATGGTGGTGGATAAGTTCAATGAAGAAAATAGTTAGCTGTGAAGATAGGATCCAGTTATCTACTTACATTCTTTGGTGGCTATGGCGAGCGAGGAATCTCTGGATTTTTGAGAGCAAATGGCAAACAAAAACCTGGATAATTAAGACAACCTTGCAAGAATGGTCTGATTTCAAGAGCAGAGAGCTGCAGAGGTAACAAGAGCTGAGAAGATGAGGCTAGGTCAAGTGTCAGTGGCTTTAGTTTTCTTTGCTCATGGGTAATCTGCTGTGTAGTGTATTTGCTTTGGGTCTGTTTCTGTTTTTCTGATATAGAATTGTATGCTTAGTTGTTGGTGTGTTTCGGGTAGGCAGTACTGTATGTACTTGGCCTCTGTATTTGCTTCTAATTTTGTATCCTCTCCTTGTACATTCCAGGTTTTCCTGGCTTCCTCTGAGTTATATATTTTGATGTCGTTGAAAAAAAAAAGGCTATTATAAGAGATGTTTTTAAAAACACATGAGATTAGGAGGATAAAAAAAAAAGAATAAGAAGCAAATCAATTTCATATATTGTTTTGTAGGGAAAAAAATGGGTGCATATTTGAAAACAAATGTTACCTTATCCAATGGTTTGTTGGATGATCTCATTTCCCACACAATTTTGGCAAAATCAAATTTTCACTATACTTTCAAAATAATATACTTATCAATTACATAGAAAACTCGATTTTCAAATGAGATTATATTTTTGGTGAATAATTTCGATAAGATTTATTTGGTAAAAACGTGTGAATATACCATGATAATCTGTATTTTCTGTAACATTCTATTCGTGTTTACATCAAAAAAATATTTAACAAAATTTGCAATTTAGGAGCAAATATTTTATTTTGAAACATCCATAACATATTTTATATGACATTCAATTTAGGCAAATATAATATCTAATTTTGAATAAGATTAGTTTCAATTCAAATAACACATCAATACAATATAAACATAAAATGTACAATATTAAAAATAATTTGATATGAAAACGCATCAATACAATCAAAATATAGGAAATTTGATCTTTATTTTAATATAGCATTCCAATATTCACCATAAGTTAATGCGGATATGAAAAAATATTATCAAAGAGAATTTTAATTTATAAATATTAATAAATATTTCTGATGCACGAGATTTGTACTAGTTATAAATTAAAATAGGAAACAGCAATAAAGCTAAACTATTACAATGTTATTACAAACCAAAGAAATGAATGTATTTCACAAAGAATGGATATCTATACACGTATGGTATATTTTTTTTTTTTTGGTACAGGGACCTTCCGGTTTCTGGATCGACAGGGGAACCGATTAATCCGGAATCAAGTCGGGTAGGACCACAAGGGCGGCAAAACTCTCCCTCAAGAGTTTTAGCACTGCTGCATTCCCAATCTGGTTAAGCTGGAAGAGACCCAAGTCATCTCATCCAAGCGCTCTTGGAGTCACGTATGGTATATTTGTTTTCAATACTTGGTGAAATACATCCACGAATGTGGCATCTACACCACCATAAGTTCCAATAACCCACCCGTAAATACTAGGCCAAAACCTTTATCCGCTCCCGTTTGGCTCCTTGCATATCACTATAGATAAACCCTCCAAGGATTTTTGTTCCTATTGAAGTACTTCACTGTACATTTTCCGCATTCCTGCTTCGCAGTATCAGGGTTCCACCATTTTCTTGAGTTCGTTTCTTTTCCCTTTTAGTCTGGCATAATTCACCAGTTATATCTCTTGGCTACAGAGTTCTGTATTTGTTGAAATATGATGGTGCGATTGTGTGTCTTTCTTGTTTGATTTTGTTACGATGGCTGATTTCGCATGTTCTTCGCAAGATTGCGTCTTTACTGCTTTATGAGGCTGAAAAATGTGGAATTTGTTACATGTTCTTCATGAGCACCTCAATGGTCCTATGTCAACATCTCGTTTTATCCAATAATATTAGCTCTGATAATTCATTCTCATCGTGCAATGGGCCGTCTGCTTTTGTTCGTCTGAATTGTGGGAGGAGAAAATCGCGAGGGCTGGTTCCAAATGCCAAGAAAAGGCACAAGAGGGGAAAAGGGAGTTGGTGGCAGAGATTCTTTTTTGACGAGGATGCGAATTGGCTGGGGTTGAAGGAAGACTATTTGATTGATGAACTTGAATCGGAGGATGTCACTAGCGGTGACGAGTTATCCGAGAATGAGAAATTTGAGGCATGGAAAAGACGGGCCGAGGCTATAGTTGAATTAAGGGAGGCACAAGATGAAGTCAAGAATGAGGAGAATAGGATGTGGGAGGACTGGCTTGTGGATGGAGCTAATGGTGAACTCAGCAATGGATCGTCGTGGTTTGAGAAATCGAACGATTCGGTTGAAAAGTTGGGGGATGATTTAGTGGAAGACGGTGATGAATTGTTCTCCGCTAAAGGATTGGTTAGGTCCGCGAGGAATTTGGTTCTAGGCAGAGAAGATGACGATATTCTGTATGAGGATCGAGTTTTTCGTTATGCCTCGTTCAATTCGGTGAGTGCTGTTTTGAAGGAATTAGTTGTAGTTGACATGAAAGTATCCACTTCAAATTTAGTCTTTTGCTTTTGAGGCGGCTTAACTGTCTGTCCAACTGTCCCAAGCCAAATGGTATAAGTTCTGAGGCGATTTAGTTATCAGTTTTACTCAAGAATGTTTTCTTGAGAGGTCTTTGTATAATCTCTTGGCTTCTGCACAATCATCACTAATGCCAAAGTTGTCCTGGTCATATGTGTAAGCTGTCATGCATTTGAACACTTGTTAGTAAAATCTGTGAATTATGTTCATGTAGTTGAACATAACTGATGAATCCAAGAAAGTAAATATCGGCATCCCACATTTTGTGCATCAGTTTCAAGCCTTGTGGTATGAAAGATAGAGGGTTACTGTAAAGCTAGCATTGTTCTTTTTTATACATTGATGTTCTGGAAAAAAATCAATAAATTAATTAGGTCAGTGTTAATGATATAACTTCTCCGGTAGCTTCTATTAAGCACACGCCTTGTAGAAAACTTGGTTTGACATATACTTGTGCTATGAGTGGATAATTACAATTTATTAAAATTATAGGCCAGTGTAAGAGCAAGAAGTGAACGATCTCAAATGACTGAACATTATGATTTCCTGAAATTGGGTATGTTTAAACGTGGATGAGCTTGTTTGCAAGTTACCTGTTGAGGATAGAAATTTATCCACATATACAGTAACTAACTTATGAAAATGCTCTTGTAACTTCATCTTTGATCAATAGTGTCAATGGCACTTCGAGGACTTTTTGAAAATCTTCTTATTGCCGTTGTGCTACAATTTAAACTAAGGGTACAAAACGACGTAGTTTTGGGGAACATGATCCACGTTGCAAGGTGGCCCATGGTCAACCATATAATTTATCATCTTTATTTATCTAGCTGTGTTTTTTATATATTGGTTTTGGGATCTGATTAAAATCATATATAATTGATTAGAACCTTCTTGTATACCGTAGTAAAATCACCAATTCGTTCCATACTCTAGCAAGCTGCGTTATGTATAGATGTTAGGTTATTCCCCATGAATATAAGCTATATTGTGTCTGATATACTCTTGAACATGTTCAGGAGTTTCTCAAGGACCTCAATTGGTAAAGGCAAATACCCTTTCCCTATCTAATTGTGTCGAGGGATCAGTATATACGAGAGTAATCAATTCATCACAATTTTTCAAATGTTTGAGCTCGATCATAGTAAACCAGCTGCATGCATTTATAGCCCGTTGCTTGTATGACGTTGGAACTTATATTATTTTAAAGTCATATATAAAGTCCTCTTGATGATATGGAAGTATTATTGCTCAACCATATAATTATCATCGTGTGTAGAGCTTTGTGTACTGGCATTTGGACCTTTTATTTTATATTTCTTTACCCATTTCAGGCTAAATTCTTGGCTGTACTGGTCATTGTCCCATGGGCCTTGGATTTCTTGGTTCACGACTATGTTATGATGCCTTTTCTGGACAGGTACGTAATGATATCTTATTGCATAAGCTGTACTTGAAAAACCCATTGCAGAGTAATTTCTAATACTTGGATTATAGACACAAGCTAACTTGAACATCAATTTCCTATTTTCTTTTTCACTTCACATGGCCAATAATGGATAGGCGATATTCACCACATATAATTGAAGGAAAAAATTTATCATCTTTAAGACCTAATGTTTTTTCTGTGATAAATCCATAACAAGGCTGTCATCTTCATAGGAACTGCACTAAAGAAGTAATATTATAGCTGACAGTATATATTGATTCACAAAAGAAAGTAAAATTCTTATGGTAGCCATTCTACAGAAAGAATATGTCTGCCTAAAACAACAGTTAGTACCAATCTTAGTTTGCTTTTTACTGACTAAGTACTGCTTATTTGTACTTTATATTGTCACTCGGGCGCTCATATGCTGTCCATATCAGTCAAAATAATGTTAGTATACAACTGTCTCTGCTCTGCTACTTTTCCTGACCTTTAATTGTTGCATTGTTATATAAAGAATGATCTTGACTGATCACTAGATTATGTTAAATAGATATGTCAAGACTGTACCACTTGCTGCTCAGCTGCTTGACGTGAGGAGGAATCAGAAGCTTGAAATGGTCAGATCTCTAAATCTTGAGAAAGCACGGTATCGGCTTGAAGTAGAAATAGGGAAATCTCCTCCTCTTTCTGATGAGGACCTTTACTCAGAATTACGACAAAAGGCGTAAGTATTTTTAGTGGATATGTGCTTCAATGTGCTTTTAGGCTGTGAACTGTTTGCTGAACTTGAAACATCTAATGGCTTGAAAAGGAGAAAAGAAAAAAAAAAAAAAAATATATATATATATATATATATTTGGGCCATCTTTCTACAGATAATATTGTACTCTAGTGATACTTGTGACTCGGTCAGACGGATGCTCTGTGATATTTGTAACTTTTCATGACTTAAAAATTGTCTTGCGAGGCAATTATTAATCTTTTGCTTGTTCCTTATCAGGTTAGAGTTGCGTGATGAATGGAGATTAGAGAACCGCAGAGCATTTGCTAACATATGGTCAGATACGGTTTTTGGGATCTCGTTGTTTGTTCTGCTATACTTCAATCAAAGCCAAGTGAGTTATAATAATCTTCTCTCTTCTTTCACTTCAACCGCAAAAGCCTTCCTTTGTTGTTCAGTTTCATGTACTCAAAAAGGATCATATTTTTTTTTCTTATTCGAATCACATGGAATTGGTACAATGGAGGTTATATAGTTATGTCTTTCATTGTTTTTTAACTTATAAAAGCCAGATTGAGAATGATTCCTTTTTTATATCTATCGGTGGCGTTTTTTACTCTTCCAACTGGTACTCTGCAGGTAGCTTTGCTGAAGTTTACAGGTTATAAGATAGTGAATAACATGACAGACACGGGGAAGGCATTTCTTATCATACTTTTAACCGACATTTTCTTAGGGTACAATTCTGTGCTTTTCCATATACACACGTGCATCACGTTTACGTGTGCATCACATTTTATTATTCCTGTGTAATCTAAGGTCTCACGTGTTGCGAAATGCAGTTATCATTCTGAATCAGGTTGGCAGACATTGTTAGAGGTTCTTGTCGAGCACTACGGATTTGAGGTGGATAAGGCTGCCATAACTATCTTTGTCTGCCTAGTTCCTGTTATAATTGATGCTTGTGTCAAGCTGTGGGTATGTACTTTTTTTTTTTTTAAAAAAAATATGTGTTTTAACACATAATAATGGACTAGATCAAAATGGCACAATTAAATTCTAGTGCTTCTTCTAGTGAAGTTTCTAGAAAAATATATCAAACGACGCAATGCACCTTGGGTCGCTACGGAAACAATCTCCTTATATATATAATTACAAGGGTAAGGTTTTCGTACAACTGACCCCCATACCCCAACCAGTTGGGAATATACTGGGTATGCTGTTGTTGTTTAACACATAAAATTCAGAATAATGGCAAAAATACCATCGAGTTCAGGTTTCTTTTTCCTTTTTTTTTAGCTTTTTTTTTGTTTTAAATGCTTTACGAAAATAGGCCAAACTTTATAGGTCGTTTGCAATCAGTATCTAGACGTGTCCATCAGCCGGGCCGGTTAACGACCCGTACCGGCCCGTCGGGTCACTGGGGCTTCAAAAGTTGGACCCAGAACCGGCCCGGCTATATCTAGGGGCTGGTCCGGCCCGATCTGGCGGTTCATCAAACCGCCAGTTTTTTAATTAAAAAGGAAAAGTAACTATGACCAGCGGGTCAAAAAAGAAAAAGTAAGACCCGGAACTGGTCCGGTTTTATCACGGGTCCGGTTCCGAGCCGGTTTGGCCCTTGCCACCTCTATCAGTATCCCAATCTGACCTATCTTGAGATTCCTCTCAATTCAAACTTTTCCAATAATTTTGGTGTTTTAATTTTGTGACGTTATTCTGACCCATTATTCTGTTATTTGTTTTTTTTTTTCAGTTGTTTAAATACCTGCCGAGATTATCCCCAAAGGTGTCCAGTATTTTCCGCGAAATGAAGAGACATTAGCAAGACTTTTTTTTTTTGGTATCTACAGGTTTTAATCTCCATTAGGGATTCTTGTATTCTTTTTATATGGAGAGGTTTCACTTTCCATAGTTTCGTTTCTTCCTAGAGGACTTTAAACTCCATGCGATTATTTTATGTGAGTATCATATGTAAGAATATGTAGCCCGAAAGCATTGGGTTCACATTTAATTATTTTATTGGGCCAAACCTTTATTTAATAGTCAAACAAATCTAAGTCATTAATCTGGATATTTGATAGACGTACCAGATCTAAAGACACTCCTATATAAATTAGTCATCTCTCCTCCTATTAGGGTACGCAATCATAATCCCATCATTTTTCTGCTATGTTAAGATTGGACAGGAGAGAGAAACTAATTTAGTCCTAACAATTGATCAAGTCTCTTGTGATCATCAAGATCACTAATTATGTCGTCTTCCGCATCAAGTAAGTATTTCGTATACACCAAATTATTTATTCAAGATCCTTGATGAAATTTACATGTGGTATCAGAGAATGTGTTGTGGATAAATAATTTGTTTGTATGAATTTTACAAGCATATTTTGTTTGTAATTAATGATGAACTGGATAAATTAATCGCATGAATTTTGATGGGTTGCAATTAGTCCTGTATGTCTTATTCGATTTCTTAATCGCCGTGTTTTGGTGTTTGTTCTGTTCGAGTTCACCGAACTAATTGGTTGATAAACTGCTTTATCTATTTACGGGCCCTATGGTTGATTTTATTTGAATTATTTATGCAAGTGGGCCAATTGATGAAACAACATGTTCTATTGAAACTATATGAAAGCCCATAAGGTTGGTCAGTGAAACAAGTGAGCAGAATGAGGATTTATCTTTCTTTTGTTGAAATAAATTGATAGATGCCATGGCCCATGTATCATGTATGATTATTGATCTTTGTTTCTCTAGAAGTATAACTGATGGCCCACAGTATGCTTATTGGAATTTATGTTAATTTATGCAATTGATTATATGAACATTATGTGAATGCAATAGTTTCGTATTGTTTATTTTAATGGACCTTATGATGATGATCAAGCTTTTATAAATAGTTGCTTGTGGATTCAACTGGATATGGTATTATATGACATTAAAGTAAAATTAATTAGTTAGTCACCAAAGTGGCCTAATTAATTTTTAATGTTCGGTCATATAATTTATGGTTATAATTTTGTTATATGACATTGTGATAAAATTAATTTGTTAGTCACCAAAGTGGCCTAATTAATTTTTTAATGTCCAGTCATATAATATTATTGTTACAACTGTTTATTATATGACATTAAGTGAAAATTAATTTGTTAGTCACCAAAGTGGCCAGATTGATTTTCTAATATTTAGTCATATAACTTATGTTCTCTTGAGAATGTCATTATTTAAGATAATGAGTTTATTGGTTGTTGGAAATTATGGATTTACCCAAAGGTGAATCAATGTTCTATAACTAATAAACATTAAGGAGAAATATATATCTTTGTCGAGCGTATGTAGATATCTAAAGATACTATGTATGTTAGAAGAAGTTTATTTAATTTCTCATTAAGTGTTGAATGACATTCGATTTATAATAATGATATATATTGTTGTGTTTACCCAAAGGAGACCAACAATATATGTTATAAATGATTTTCTGAATCTATTAATTAAGTGAGCTTTTATGATTGTGCAGCTATCTCTCTTCATTCGCAAGCTTCTTCTGTTATTGTCTTTAATGGTTTGAATTTCTCTGAATGGCGTGAGCAAGTCAATTTCCATTTAGGTGTTTTGGATATTGACTTGGCTCTGCTTGAAGAAAAGTCTGCTGACATTAATGATCAAAGCAGTGAGGTTGAGAAATCAAAACGTAAGGCTTGGGACAGGTCTAACAGATTATGTTTGAGCTTTATGCGAATGACGATTGACAACAACATTAAGTCAACTCTTCCCGATAATGTGGATGCAAAAGCATACCTTTTGCTTGTGGAAGAGCGTTCTCGTTCCGCAGATAAGTCATTGGCAGGAACACTTATGGCGGAACTCACGACCAAAAAGTATGATGGGTCGCGTAGTATGCAGCAACATGTTCTTGACATGACTAATCTTGCAGCAAGGCTTAAGTCCCTGGGCATGACTGTGGATGACTCATTTCTGGTGCAATTTATGCTTAACTCGTTGCCTCCTGAATATGGGCCTTTTCAAATTAACTATAACACTATTATGAATAAGTGGGATGTTAATGAATTGGCCAGTAAGCTTGTTCAGGAAGAGACGAGGCTTAAGGCACAAGGAGTTCATACAGTCAACCTTGTGTGTCATGGAGCGAATAATGTTATCAAACCGAAATCCAACAAGTTAAAGAAAAAAGGACCTGCTAAAGTTTCACAGGTCACTAATGATGAAAAGAAGGAAAATTGGGTAAATAAATGTTATTTCTGTAGAAAAGAAGGTCACATACAGAAAGATTGCCTGAAACGCAAGTCTTGGTTTGAAAAGAAAGGTATTTCTAATATCTTTGTATGTTTCGAATCAAACTTGTCTGAAGTTTCTTCAAATACTTGGTGGTTGGATTCTGGTCCTACAACTTATGTTTCTAATGTGATGCAAGGATTTCTTACAATCCAGAGCATTAACCCAAATGAGAACTTCTTGTTTATGGGGAACCGTATGAAGGCCCCAATTGAAGGAATAGGGACTTATCGTATTGTTTTAGATTCCGGGCACCACCTGGATCTTTTACAAACTCTCTATGTACCTTCATTTTCTAGAAACTTAATGTCTATTTCTAGACTTGATGTTCTTGGGTTTTCCTTTAAGTTTGGACATGAATGTTTCAGTTTGTTTGATAAACATGATTCCGTTATTGGTTCTGGAATTCTTATGGATGGTTTATATAAACTGAAACTTGATGTTGATTTTTCTGCATCTTTAATGTGTGTTCATCAAAACATTGGAATTAAACGTGGTGTAGCGAATGAGAACTCTGCTTTCTTGTGGCATAAACGTTTGGGTCATGTATCCAAAGAAAGAATGCAAAGGTTGGTGAAAGATGAGATTCTTTTGGATCTAGATTTTGCCGATCTTGGGTTGTGTGTGGATTGCATTAAGGGAAAGCAAACCAAACATAACAAGAAAGGAGCCACAAGAAGTAGTCAGCTTCTTGAAATTATACACACTGATATATGTGGACCTTTTGATGCTCCATATTTTAATGGAGAAAAGTATTTCATTACCTTTATAGACGATTTTTCACGTTATGGTTATGTCTATCTGCTCAAGGAAAAATCTCAAGCTGCAAATGCACTTGAGGTTTTCATTAATGAAGTTTAAAGGCAGTTAGACAAAAAGGTGAAAATAGTAAGGTCTGATAGAGGTGGTGAATACTATGGAAGGTATGATGAATCGGGACAAAACCGGTCCATTTGCTAAGTTCCTTGAAAGACATGGCATATGTGCATAGTATACTATGCCAGGCACACCTCAACAAAACGGTGTAGCAGAAAGGCGAAATAGAACATTAATTGATATGGTTAGGAGTATGATAAGTAATACATCATTACCCAAATTTTTGTGGATGTATGCACTTAAGACTGCCGTGTATCTGCTAAATAGGATTCCTAGTAAGGCAGTTCCTAAAACTTCTTTTGAGTTATGGACTGGAAGGAAACCTAGTTTGAGACACCTGCATGTTTGGGGTTGTCCGGCAGAAGCACGAGTATACAACCCACATGAAAAGAAATTGGATTCTCGAACTGTGAGTGGTTACTTTATTGGTTACCCAGAGAAGTCCAAAGGGTACATGTTTTACTGTCCTAATCATAATTCTATAATCGTTGAAACGGGCAATGCTAGATTTATTGAAAATAGTGAAGTTAGTGGGAGTGCTAAAGAGACTGTGGAAATTAATGAATTAAGAGTTGATGTTCCATTACCCATTAATGTTCCAATATCCACAGTTGTACCAAATATTGTTCCACAACCACAAAATAATAGTGGACAAAATTTGGATGAAGTAGCACCCCATGAAGAGACTAACTTGCCACCAACTAATATAAATGAACCACGTGGAATAGCATTAAGCAAACTTACAAGGGTGAGAAGATCTGCTATTTCAGATGACTATATGGTTTATTTGCAAGAGTTGGATTATGATACTAGCATTGATGAAGATCCTGTTTCGTTTTCACAAGCCATTAACAGTGATGAGTCTCATAAATGGATTGATGCTATGAAAGAAGAGTTAAACTCTATGGCTAAAAGCAATGTTTGAGATCTAGTAGAGTTGCCAGAAAGTTCAAAACGAGTTGGGTGTAAGTGGGTCTTTAAGACCAAACGCGACTCGAGTGGCAATATCGAACGACATAAAGCTAGACTTGTTGCCAAGGGTTATACTCAGAAAGATGGCATTGATTATAAGGAGACTTTTTCACCTGTTTCTAAGAAAGATTCCTTGAGGATCATTATGGCTTTAGTAGCTCAGTATGATCTAGAGTTACATCAAATGGATGTGAAAACGGCCTTTCTTAATGGGGACTTAGATGAGGAAGTCTATATGGATCAACCCGAGGGTTTTCCCATAGAAGGAAAGGGTCACATGGTGTGTAAACTTAAAAAGTCAATGTATGGACTTAAACAAGCTTCCAGACAATGGTATATTAAGTTTAATGATACCATCATGCCTTTTGGTTTTCAAGAAAACACTGTTGATCGGTGTATTTACCAGAAGATCAGTGGGAGTAATTTTATATTTTTGGTTCTATATGTTGATGATATCCTACTTGTTGCTAATGATTTGGGAATTTTGCATGAGACTAAAGATTTTCTCTCAAAGAATTTTGAAATGAAAGATATGGGAGAGGCATCCTATGTGATTGGAATTTCAATATTCCGGGATAGATCACAAGGATTGTTGGGGTTGTCTCAGAAAGCATATATCGAGAAAATTCTTGAGAGATTTAGTATGAATACTTGTTCAGCAAGTGTTGTCCCATTACAGAA